ATTGTACTATTTTATTTTATTTATTGTATTTAATGGAGAGTCAGTTATAATTGTTATACCCTTTATGTAATATGGATTTTTTTGAGTGGTTTCAATATTTCTTTTTATTCTTTGTGTTTTAAGATTTCACTTATAATACACCCAAGTATAATTTTCTTCTTGGGGTTTTCTGAACTTATTGAGTGTTTGGTTTTATGTGTTTCATCAATTTGGGGGAAATTTTACCTATTATCTTTAAATTTTATTATTTGTCCTAATCTCTTTATTTTCTCCTTTATTTTTCCTTTGTTTACTCCAATTATATGTATATTAAACCATATGAAAGTGTCCCACAAATCTCAGACACTTTTCCTTTAGTCTATATGTTTATCTTCTCTATTTCAATTTGGATAATTTCTTTTTGACCTGAATTCATATTAACTGATAGTGTTTTCTTAAATATTACCCATGTGCTATTAAGCTTATCAAATATATTTTTATTTCTGATATTGTTTTATTTCTAGTAGTTCTATTTGATATTTTATTATAATTTTATCTCTACTGAAATTTCCTTTGCATTCAAGACATGTAGCTCACATTCTCCACCCCATTCTATCATACTTATTTTAAATTGCCGTTCTGATACTTCTAATATCGGGACCTTTTCTGGATATTTTCAATTGATGTATTCTTGACTATGGGTTGAATTTTTATTTTTTTATTTTTTTATTTTTTAAAATATATTTTTATTAATTTCAGGGAGGAAGGAAGAGAGAGAGAGAGAGAGAGAGAGAGAGAGAGAGAGAGAGAGAGAAACATCAATGATGAGAGAGAATCATTGATTGGCTGCCTCCTGCACACTCCCCACTGGGGATCGAGCCCGCAACCTGGGCATGTGCCCTTGACCGGAATTGAACCTGGGACCCTTGAGTCCGCAGGCAGGTCGACGCTCTATCCACTGAGCCAAACCGGCTAGGGCTGGGTTGAATTTTTAAAAATTTATTTGTTTTGGCTGGATAGAGCGTTGGCCCTTGGACTGAAGGGTAAGGGGTTTGATTCCTGGTCAAGGGCACATACTTTGGTTGCAGGCTTAATCCCTGGTCCCAGTTTGGGCGGAGGCAACCAATGGATGTGTCTCTCTCACATCAATGTTTCTCTCTCTGTGTCTCTCCAAGTACCTTCCACTCTCTCTAAAAGTCAGTGGAAAAATATCCTTGGGTGAAGATTAATAAACAAACAAAAATTATTCATTTGCCTCATAATTTTTTATTACATGAGAGGCATTATGAGTAAAATAACTTTAGTAAATAATATTTACCTCAGAGAAAGGAATACCCCTTTTCCTGTCAGGACTCCAGTGCAGGGGGGGGGGAGCCACCCCAATTTGTAGTTGAACTAGGTCTAATTGAAGCTCAAGTTATTGCAGCCTTAATTAGTTTTAACTCACCACAGTCTTTAAATACTTTGAGAATATGATCAGGATTTACCTTTTAATTAAACTTGAGATCTGAGCAATGCAATGCTCCAGAGAGTTCTTTATCCTTTACAATAGAGCTTTCTAACCTTTGTGTGGTAAAAGGACTAAAATTAAGATGCAATATTATGTACTGCCTTGACATGTGAAATAAGAGAGCCTCAGATGTCCTTAACCACAAGTTCCCTTCCCCACTCTGCGCCAGTGGATAAGGTCCCCTAGCCAAAGAATCTTCCTTATCAAAGGGACCAGGCACAGTGTCTGCTTAATAAACATTTTTGTTTTTTCTTGTGATTAGAAAATTATAAGGGAAGAAAATAACCCTTTTATCTCATCACTTAGAACTCATTTTGCAATATATATTCCCTCCTATGTTTACTAATATGATACAACGAAAAATGAAAAAACCTGCTGATAGCATATAATATAATGAGTTTCGTAGTTTCTTTTTTATAAAATAACTAGAGGTGACTAAACGGCAATAGGTTAAAACATAATTAAATATGAACCATCTAGTGGGCAATGGGTGTGTAGCAGAATGATAGAGTGCAAGTATACAAAACTCTGATGCTATAGTTCAATCCAAGGGTAGTATTTAGAGTAGCTAGAAGAATGGATTGAGTATACATTCTGCAGGCTGTAATCCCAGGAATATGGTTTTTCTTAATTGTTATTTGATGAGCATTAATGAGTTTCAGAAAGCAGAATTTAAGATTAGGCCTCTGACAGTATCTGAAGTACTAATAGTTTGTGTCTTCAATTAAGGGATAACCCATACATCTAAAACCATCAAATGGGCTGAGGATTTTCTGGGGAGTTATAGCTAACAGAGCTGAGTGGATTGATCATACGGTACCTTTTGATCACAAGGTCCTTGTAAGCTGGATTAAGGGTAACTAAAAGTCATTATTGGTCAATACCTTACAAGAGGCAAATTACTTATCTCAGTTCAGTGTGTGTGTGTGTGTGTGTGTGTGTGTTTTAAATCTTTATTGTTGAAAGTAATACATAATGTCCCCCTTCCCCCCAATTGACCCCTTCTAGCCTGCCCTGCCCCCCTCCCCAGGTCTTCACCACCCTATTAACTCATATGCATTATAAGGGAAGAAAATAAATCTTTTATCTCATCACTTAGAACTCATTTTGCAATATATATTCCCTCCAATGTTTACTAATATGATACAACGAAAAATGACAAAAACCTGCTGATAGCATATAATATAATGAGTTTCATAGTTTATGCATATATCAGTTCAGTTTTTATTACCAGAGAGCTATTTATTTGTTATTAATTGTAAATCCAATGAGGGACCCTCTACCACTAAAGTTCATTTGTCCTGAGCAGGATCAAGATTTTTTTTTCTTCAAAACATATGTGCACCATTATTCCAGCTTTTTCTTACACTTTCAGAATAGCCTATTTAACTATGAAAATGGATTTAAAATTGTATGCTATTAAATAAAAAAAATTTACTTGGGTTTTTCTCAATTACTATTCTGCTCAAAGCTAAAGGCAGTTAGTTGCCTATGTCCTTTTCAGATAAAGAATCTAGAATGTTTTTTTCTTAGGACTAAAAACCATGTTTGTGCTTTGAAAATTGTGCAGTTTCTTTGCTGCTTTTAGTAACTAATTACTGCCCGGATTGTCTGTGCTGGACATTTTTGCTCTTTTACAAATGCAAGGTTTGTGGGATTTTTCTGTGGTATATCTGAGAATTATATATTTTGTACTCCCTATCAAATTCAATTGGAGTTGCTGCTGATTAATGTGTTTTAGTTTAAATAACCTTATAGTATATATTCTCTAATATGTTAAAAATTTACTCATAGCAATGAATGGCGAAGACTAAGGAGGAGAAAAAGTACTAAGACCAAGTAGTTAGTAATTCATTGAAAAAAATAAGGCCTTGTTGCTAATCCTGGTGTCCTGTATCCAGGATTAGGAACAAAAGTATGTCTGTTATAATACATAACCAAACAGGTTACTAGGTTTAACATTTTCTAATTCTGAAACAAAACATTACATGACTAAATATTTAACAAGTGCCTAATGCTTGGCACAGAGGTTTACAGGAATATTAATTACATATGGATCTAGTTTTTAGATAACACATAATAGAACATAAGCAAATAAAAGCCAAGAATATTCTTATTTTCCTTTATAATCTCAGTACCTAAGAAAGTGCCTTGCTGAAGCCAACTTGGGGTTTGAGTAATTATTGAATGAATGCTATTTATATTCTAGAAGCCCATTGCATGAAGATTCCGCAATAGGCCTTCCTTCCCCTGGCTGCCGGCACCGGTTTTCCTCCGGCACCCAGGACCCAGGCCTTTGGTCTGGCCGGAGCAGAGAAGCCAAGCCTCTTTAGTCTTCAGTCTTCACTCCAGCTGGAGCCTTCAGTCTTCACTCTGCTCCTGCATATGCAAATTAACTGCCATCGCTGTTGGGCTAATTTGCATATGCATCCTGATTGGCTGGTGGGCATAGTGGAGTAACACCAATTTGCATGTTTCTCTTTTATTAGTGTAGATACTAAGTCTCCTGTGGAACTTTTTATGGATGAGAGAGCTTAATTGAAGTCTGAGAATCAGAGATTTGATAGAGTGGTGAGATCACAAATCCTATAAAGCATATCTACTAGAAAAATAGTCATAGAAAAGCATTTGATCAATTTAGTTCTCTATTTCTTACAGTTAGTATACTTTTGTATTACAAAAAAAGTACAAAAGCATTATATATGATCCAATTTTATTGTATTCTCATGTGACTTCACATTTTTTTCATACATTCCTTAGTGGTAAAATACTAATTACCCCCAATCACTAGATGATCAGAATTAGAAAATAGAATAAGTAAAATTCTGATTATTCAATTCATTAATTAATTAGTTCTGGTAAACATTCTGAGAGCAAAATTTAAAGTGAACTCCTTACATACCTGTATGCTTTTTTTATTAACTTATAATTCAGATTAACTTCACGTAATGCTACAGATGAAGTGTATTTATAAAAATGGGTTTAATTTTTTCCCATTAACTTAGCCTGTGATGTGTGAAAGGGCAGAGACACAGCGCAAAGCAGTTTTTGTTTATATGTGTGCATGTGTATAAGCACTTGAATAAAAGGTGGCTCTTTGGATGGGGCACAGTGGGAAAGAAGGGTGACAATTTTTTTCTCTCAATGTCCTTGTGTAGTAGAACAAAATGGTAACCTCTTTCATTCAGTACATCCAAACAGGTTCCATGCTCCCCATTGTCAACATGAAGCTCCTTTTCAAAATGAGCATCATGTGAAGCATAGGTGTACCTAAGGGAAGCCAAGTTACTTCATATTTTTCTCATGGGTTTTCCTGGTAACAATTGCCTGTGTTTTCCCATTTGCCCTTAGCCTCGTCAGAAACCCTTCTCGCTTCCATAGATCCATCCTACCAGAAGTCACAGATCACACTGAACCTACAGAAACAGGAAATCAGACTTCCTGAGTCCACTTCAAAACACAGAAACCTGTTTCCTTTGCACATCTCACATTGGCAAAGACCTGTCTCAGCGGAGGCAGTGTGGAAGCAGCCGTTGAAAAGGCTAGAAGGACTCACTCCCCAGTTTCACATGAGCTTTCTTGATTCAAACTACTGAGATGAAGGGAGCAAGGCTATTTGTCCTGCTTTCCAGTATATGGAGTGGGGGCTTTGGGCTTAACCACACCACGCAGACTTGGACTACGCCTGAGGATGAAAACTCCCAGAAGAAGATGACCTCTGCTTCGGTTCCTCTAAATAAGCTACAAAGTCACCGAATGCTGCCAACCACTCAGATCATGTCAGCCGAGATGGTCCCTGAGACAAGAACCTCAGAAGAAGGTCTCCTAAAAGCAGCCTTGCTTCCCTCGGAGACCAGTGCAGCTCCTGCGGGTGTGAGACGCCCAGCCCTCACATCCACAGAGGAGCCGGAAGAAAGGGTGCTGAAGTTACAAACTCTGGCCCCGCTGACCAAATCTAGCAGCAAGTTCAGTCCTGGAGCCGAGTCAGTGGTCCTTTCCAACTCCACGCTGAAATTTCTTCAGAGCTTTGCCAGCAAGTCGAATCAAGTGACTTCTCTCAACTCAGTTGGTGGCCTGGGAAATCGATCCCCACGGGAAACATATCTCAGCAGAGGTGACACCAGTGGAAGCCAGAAAACCAACTATCAACAGTCAAGCTTTGAGACAACGAGAGGGAAGTAAGACCCATTCTTTTCTTCTTTCCCCCCCTAACTATAAGGTCTGTAAGATTGCAAGCTAACAGTTCAACTATCTCACTCCCAGAAAATAATTTTATATTTTAGGTGAAAGTGGACCATATTTCAGTTAGACAATGCAATTAAGTGTTACCTTATCTAATGGAGAAAGGATGAGCAAACATGCAACAATTCTGTTTTAATTGAAGTTGTCAAAGTCACTTACAGAGGTATTTTTACTTGGGATAGTTAACTAACAAAGAATGTAACACCACAGTGACTGAGTTCAGTTCATTCAACCCAAGGGTATGTTGGTGGTGCTCAGAATTACACCCACAACATGAGAGGAAAAAACACACGTCAATATAGTTGGGATGTGAACAGATTTTAAAAATTGAAACAGCCTGGTGCTGTGGAACACATACAGTTATCATGATCAAACCAAGAAGTCGTGGGTTGGAATCCTGGCTCCCATACTATCTAGATTCATAACTTTGAGCAAGTCAGTTGATCTCCCTGAACCTCAGTTTCTTCATATGTGAAATACAGAGGTTGTGGAAGAAGTACAAATAAAACCTGGTTGATTTGGGCTAACTAATTTGAAATAATTTGGGATTTAAAAAAATAACATATTTTTTCCTACTGCTTTTGGAATTTTATAGTGATTCCAAATAAAAGGAATACGTATGTCTATAGGATTTTTTTTCCTGGCATATTGTTTCGCATTGTTCACTCTCTCTCATCTTAGCACGCAGTTAGTCACGCCTGGCTACATCAGAGCTGTGTGTGGTTTCCTATCTAGCAGAGTGGATGTTTGTCAGTGACCAAGCACTTTGAAATAGGCAGGATAAAAAGAAGAAATTAGGATTAAGGCATTTATGCGTTGAGTAAGTGCTTGCTGGGGACTTGATCTGTCCACAGCACGGTGCTTGTGCTGAAGGTGAAAGAATGAACAAAAACTCCCATTGTCCTGCTCTCATGGATTCTACAGACCAGTGGGGAGGGTATGAGAAGGAAAAACTAAATCAAAAATGCATTAAAATGGTGATAAGCATTCTGAATGACGCTTATGAGAAAATACAGGAGGGTGCATGGCCTACAAGGGAGGTGAGCAAGCCTTCCCTGAGAGTATAATAGGTGAAATGAGGTACTGGTACACATCAACTGCTTACTTAACTTCTCCCACAACTACAGCCCCTGCACACACATGCTTGAATTTAAATCTTCACCGTCTCAGTGATGGCTAGTTTCATAATTAGAAACCTTGGATATGTTATTTTTTTAATATATTTTTTATTGACTTCAGAGAGGAAGGGAGAGGGAGAGATAGAAGTATCAATGATGAGAGAGAATCCTTGATCAGCTGCTTCCTAAACACCCCACCCACACTGGGGATTAAGTCCACAACCCAGGCATGTGCCCTGACCGGGAATTGAACCATGACTTCCTGATTCATAGGTCAATGCTCAACCACTGAGTCATGCCAGCTGGACCCTTGGATATATTCTTGATATTTTCTTTCCCTTAACAAAGAAAATAATAATCTTCTTAGTATCTCCTCCAATATATTCCAGATTCCTCAGCTTTTCTCCACCTTCACTACACCATCCTGTTCCTAGTCTCTATTATTTAACTTGTCCATATCTCCACTCTTGTCTTCTGTAATCCATGCTCCACACAAGTAAGAGATTTTTAAAAACTTTTTATTGAATAGATTTGACATGAAATTGTTTAAATTTAAGGTGTTTAAACTTTTAAAACATTTTATTAGTGTATTTCATTGGACATATGACTTCATCTATTGTGGCCTATTACATGATATGCTAACAAGAAAGGAAAGTATGACAGCATTATTTCTTAGAATTTTTAGATTTACATATCTCTTAGACTTAGGGATTTTTTTTTTACTATATGTCAATTTTTTGCATATTTAAAATGAAAATATAAATGAAACTGTCCAACCAATACTGACTGAAAGATACCATTCATTTCAAAATATATTCTTGATTGCAAAGATGTGTATCTTAAAATCTGTGAATTTTATATTTTGCTTACATGCTCAAAATTACTCAGTAGCTTTGCATTACATTTAGAATACAATGCTGAATTCTCACCAGGGATCACAGATCTTACTTGACATGAGTTTGCCTATCTTTATGATCTCACTAGAGGCCCGGTACACGAATTCATACATGGTGGGGGAGGGACCACGGGAGGTTAGCCGCTGGCCAACATATTTGTAAATATGACAAATCTGATCAATAAAATTCATCTGTTGTCTTAGTCCATTCAGGCTGCTGTAACAAAATAACACACTCAGTGGCTTGCAAACAACAGACATTTATTTCTCACAGTTCTGGAAGCTGGAAGTCTGAGGCCAGGTTGCCAGCATCATTGGGTGAGAGCCTTTCCCAGGTTCCAAGCTTTTCATTGTATCCTCCGATGGTGGAAGAGTGAGGGGTATCTCTAGGGCCTCTTTTATAAGGGCATCAATCCCATCATGAGGGAGTGGCCTCATGACCTGATCATCTCCAACCCCCCACTTCTAAGTCTATCATATTGGGCACTTATGAATTTCAACATATTTATTTGGGGGAGGAGGGACACAATATTCAATTTATAGCATGTGTAGTTTGCAAAATTATTGTCAAGCCTATTAGCATCCAAAGGGAATTATTCTCACATGCTGTAAAAAGAGAACCATACCATTATATTAAATATTATTTTTTTATTCCCTTGGATAACAAATGTCTACCCTGTTATTACCAACGGTGAAAACTAATACTAAATAGAATATAAGCTGTATCTTAATTTTCCTCATTGTTTCCTTTTTTTTTTTAATTCTCTTGACATTTCTACTCAGTAAATTGCTACTGAATATTTAAGTATATGTGCTAGAATTTAACAAGTATTTAGTGCAGTTGATTAAATGAGAATTTTTTTTGTATTTCCACACCTGTTTTTTAATACAAAAATACTATTTTGAAATGTGTTATTTAAGAGCAAATGCTAAGAGTCAATTTTCAGGAACAACAGGATTGTGTGTAGGATTAGCCAGCCTTTCCCCAGGCTTCGTGGTCTGCACACTGGGAAAGCCTGCCATCTTCTGGAGCACAAACAGCTTGCAGTGTCCCTGAATATGTTGAATTCACAGTGTGGGGGAAAGAAACAGAAAAAGAAAATTCGGTAAAATAAAACATATTTGTGTAAAAGATTGTACTAAATAATTTTAAAATGGTTACTTATAAAATATGTTATACATATAACATATTTTGGGGTTTCTAAAATGTGTCAATCAAAAATATAGTAGATTGTGTATTTATAATGCTTCTCTTAGTTCATTATCCACAAGACTTCACATTGGATAAGTCAGATTAGACTCCTTTTTCTGCCTCCTATTTCTGCAAAGTAGGCTCATGTTCATAAATAACCAAAGATGTCTGCTTTTCCCTAGAAAAAAAAAGACCTTTTACCTATTAACTTGGAAAAATCAAAGAATCAATACAAGCTTTTTTTCAGTACATGTTGCTGCACAAAAGCAATGGTGTTATTACCCATAAAAAGAATCCCAGATGCAGTCTGCTGCTTGCAGGGGTACCACCCCATGGAAAGCTAACCACTTCAAAGTACCTGCTCTCCATGCACATAATCCGATTGGAAAAATACAAAGGATTTCTAGATTTAAGCAAAATGCTTGTCTGGGATCATCACATTTATCTTACTCTGCCTGTCACCATTTTACCATGCTTAATTTTCTATTTTTAAACATATTTCTTGATAATTTGACTTTAAAATTGTATTTCCATTTTTAACATCATAGCATAAACCTAATTACAAGTCACACCAGGGGTTCTATGGATAATTCTTCCATTTTATACCGGACCAGAGATTGCCGGGTCATGAGCAATCTGCTGCTATGCTTTTTGCCTACTCAGCTATTTTAGTCATGAGATTGTTTTACTACTTAGAATTTTAATAGCTGGTGACCCTGTTATTTATTCTCATAAACGATCTATCTATCTATCTATCTATCATCTATCTATCTATCTATCTATCTATCTATCAATCATCTATCTATCATTTTTCAAAATTCAGAATATGTAGAATTAGTGGTACTTATCTTTTTCCTGCCTCATATTCCAGCCTCAATAGTCATTCAGCTAATGTTCATGTGACATACAACTGTGCATCGGTTGAAGTTCATCGTTCGCTGCAATCAGGATAATCAGTGGATTTGCAAGAGGAATCTAAGTTTTTAAAATATCCCTGTGTGTGTTTCTCTTAATTTTAAATCTTTCTCCTTTTTATATCTTGCTTTTGCCAGATCTTTGTTTCACATTATTTTTGCAAGTACTGCCATACTTTCACAAAATGTGCAAAGTGTCTTTTTATGTCTTCATGGAACTGAATTTTTAAACTTTTCATTCAAAACAACCTGGCACAATAAGATATATGGTGCTCAATTTATCTGCCTTGGAAGGATGAATGACTGAGTCAGCTTTACTTGTAGAAGACCATTTGGTCCTAAGAAGCCTAAATATTCCAAAGCAGATGATTACTAACTTTAGTTGCTTTACCCTGGGAAAACTGGGTTCCCTCTTTAACATTCAGGGTGATTTCGGCATTCTTTTAATTATTTTTATTTTTAAGCAGAATAGATTCCTTAATACTGATTTAGAGACATACATCTCATCTCATATTGATTTGCACTTGTAGTGGTTCGATTTCACAGTCATATAACATTTCGTTCAGTATATGTTTTGTAAATCAGCTCTGCTTTCTGAGGGGCGGGGTGGGGGAGGGAACAAACCCAAAGTCATAGGTGAGAGGAAAAAATATAAATTAAATGTAACAAGACACATATTTACAATGAAACAAATAATTGAAATAGAAAAAGAGAAGAAAAAACAGCAATATCCAATCATTCATTCAACCTATAATTATTGAGGACTTTCTCTAGTTTGCTATACGATATTTTTATGATAAAATAACTGGTATTGCAACCAGGAATAAGGCTTCTCCCTCTTTTCCTACTCTTTTCAAGCACAGCGTGGTATTCAGCCCAAGATGCAAGAGGACCCCAAGGTTGACCTTTAAAATGACCTGTCCCATGTTTTATTTAACTTTTCCCACATATTCTAACCTCCTCAGCAGCCCCACACTCAGAGCTCTGTTTTCTTCACCCAGTATTTACCCAAAGATGCAATTAAAAAACTGTTCCCAGGCAGAAAATTAGATTGAATATGGAGTTCAAATCATGCATGTGTGTCCCTTTCTCTCAAGAATCCTATCGCTGTGTTGTCTTTGTCCAACACCTGAAAAATATTGTTATACTAGAGGCCCTGTCTGTGCCCTCTCGCAATCTGGGACCCCTCGGGAGATGTTGGACTGCCAGTTTCAGCCTGATCCCTGCAGGCCAGGCCGAGGGACCCTACCAGTGCACGAATCCATGCTCCGGGCCTCTAGTATGCATATAGGATCTTTGGTTAATCTCTTCCCGAGCTCCCCGGACCCCCTTCCCAGTGAGATTCATCAGTCTGCTCCATGTTTCCATGCCTGTGCTTTGAGTGTCTGCCTCCTGGTGGTCAGTGCATGTCATAGCTACCGGTCAAATGGTTGGCCGGTCCCTTAGGTTTTTCTATATATAGATACTAGAGGCCCGGTGCACAAAATTTGTGCGGGGGGGGGGGGGGGGGTCAGCCTGGCCTGCACTTCTTCCCATCTGGGATCCCTCTTGCAATCTGGAACCACTGGGTCCTAAATGGTCAACGGAGTGCCTGCCTGATGCCCCCAAAGCTCTCCCCCGTCGGGCTGATCCCCCTTAACTTGCGAAATGCTCTCCCCTGCCCGCCTGATCCCCTTAACTGCCTAACTGGTCTCCCCTACTGGCCTGATCCCCCTAACTGCCTAACTGCTCTCCCCTGCCAGCCTGATCCCCCTAACCACCTAATTGCTCTCCCCTGCTGGCCTAATCACCCTAACTGCCTAACTGTTCTCCCCTCCTGGCCTGATCCCCCTAACTGCCTAACTGCTCTCCCCTCCTGGCCTAATAACCCTAACTGCCTAACTTCCACCTTCTCCCTTCTCCCGTGGTGCTGTCCTTCTCCCTTCTCCCTTCCTTCTCCCTTCTCCCTTCTCCCTTCTCCCTTCTCCCTTCTTCCTTCTTCCTTCTGCCTTCTCCTGTGATGCCTTCTCCCACGGCCTCTGCAAAAGGGACCGTGGTGCTGGACTGGCCCTCACAGCCTCTGCGGCTGCAGACCCTCAGTCCTTGCAGCCACTGTGGCCTTGTCTGGAAGGACGTCTGGAAGATGTCCGGTCTAATTAGCATATTACCCTTTTATTAGTATAGACTAGGGGCCCGGTGCATGAAATTCGTGCACTGGGTGGGGGGGGGGGGAGTGTCCCTCAGCCCAGCCTGCCCCCTCTCACATACTGGGAGCCCTCAGGCGTTGACCCCCATCACCCTCCAATCGCAGGATCGGCCCCTTGCCCAGGCCTGATGCCTCTGGCCCAGGATTCAGGCCTGGGCAGGGGACCCCCCTCTTTCCCCGATCACTGGCTCCACCCTCACCCAGGCCTGATGCCTCAGCCAGAGGCGTCGACCCCTTTCACCCTCCGATCGCCTGATCTGCCCCTTGCCCAGGCCTGACGCCTCCGCCAGAGGTGTCAGGCTTGGACAGGGGACCCCCATCTCCCCCAGATCACTGGCTCTGACCCCCGCCCAGGCCTGATACCTCTGGCCCAGGAATCATGCCTGAGCAGGGGACCCCCATTTCCCTCTGATCGCTTGCTCCACCCCCTGCCCAAGCCTGACGCCTCTGACCCAGGCTTCAGGCCTGGGCAAGGGGACCCTCATATCCGCCCAATCACCGGCTCCGCCCCCCACCCAGGCCTGATGCCTCTGGTCCAGGCATCAGGCCTGGCAGGGGGACCCCCAGCCCCCTCCGATTGCTGGCTCTGCCCCCCGCCCAGGCCTGATGCCTCGGCAGAGAGTTGACCCTCATCACCCTCCGATCGCGATCACCGGATCGCCCCTTGCCCAGGCCTGAGCC